ATATATATATATATATATATATATATATATATATATATATATGAAATTCTTGTTTTTTTTATTTTACTTTTTAACTATTAAATTAACCTATGCTTTTTTTATTTCATATATTTTCTCATTAGCTATACGAACTAAACAACTATATTCAATTATATACGATTTGTGGGCAATTCATACTTTTCTTTTTATTCTTGAGTTAATCCCTGATCAAAATTAATTCAACGTGAAAATCACTTTGCTCATTTCCAAAAATATATTAACTAATTCATAACTGATAAACGAATCGCCCTTACTTAACATTGACGCTCACGATTATTATGATAAGCGTGCGATAGGAAATTAATGAGAATATAACTTGCTGTTTTTTCACAATTATGATTAATTATTTCGTTATAAAAATAAATATTTGATTTAATTATAAAAATTATATAAAGAAATAAATATATATATATATATATATATCATATATCTATTCTCATACTTTTCTAAATTTTTTGACATAATAATTTTTTGACGTTTTTCTTTAAATTATGATTTGTAATTATAATATCGAGTATTTTTAAAACTCGATATATAACGTTTTAAAATCGTTCGTTTAAAAATGGCGATACATTTTTTAAAAATTTTTTAAGAACGAAATACACAATTGCAATAAATTCGATAAACAACTCAATAAACAAAAAATTTTAAATAATCCAATACGAAATTCAATACATGTCTCTATTGTACGTACACAAGTGTGTATTTGAAAAATCAAATTGGAGGGAAGTGGAAAAGTTGAACATATATTCTGTGCGTATACGTGCGTAGGAAGGAAAGGCGGAAGAATGGGATAGAAAGAGAGAGAAATGTAGTTAAACCTACAAATACACACCTTAAGTAGGAAGTGTCGCGCTTCCAGTGCTCGCAGCGCCCCTGCCGTTGCTCCCTCGTTTTTCCCGATACGGGAATAAATTAATTTGTGCTATGAAATTTCGTTCGTCCCTTCGATCTTTTCCTTCGCTCTTATAAAGTTTTTCCACACCGATTATATGCAGACGAATCAAAAAAAGAAACGCCAGGCAGTGTATACTTATTAGGATGCTCGCCATAAAAGATGTGTCGACAACCGACAAACTCCGTTTTTGTAGACATAATTATTCTTCTGATAAACGTCTTTTTTTAATTAAACCTTGATAAACACTGATGCGTTACCAAATGGACACATGACTTGTAAATTAACAAAAAACAATACATTTATATAGCAAAGCCATAGTTATAAATGGACATCAGCACTCCAACTTTCTATCAATTTGAAACACCAGTGACGATCTTTTTCCTCTAGCATGATGAAAATAAACAGCAGAACCTTTCAACAAACGCATCTCATGTCAATCGAATCGACGCTTTGATTCATGAATATACTATAGGTTAATTAAAAGAGTTTGTACAAACCATATCTTTTAATTTCATTTTTAACTCTTGCCAAATAGAGTAGATCTTATCACAACACTTTTAACATATTTAAAGAATCTTCACATGAGAGTGTTAACGTACTTAATACAATATGATATTACTTACACGGCACGACACAGAAATATGGCGACCTAAGAGAACCCAGCACACTGTCGACAGTGTCGAAAGTCCATGAAGATAGTCGTCATTAGAAATTGAGGGAAAATAACTTTTATTGAATATTTTTTATTGAGATATTTTAACACTGTTTGTAATAATTTAATTTTGAAATTTTGAATTCGTGAAAAAAAATATCACGAAACACTATTTTCATGCCCGCCATTAATCTTAACTGTCCTCCTCAACATTTAACATTTTCTTTCTTTTGTACTCCCTCTTCTTTCCACCGCGGGCCATCCTCACTTCCCCACCACGCTACACCACTGCATTCGCACTCTTTTTACTCTACCCTTCTCTCTATCGTGCAATTCTCGTCAAAGTCTTATTTTGCTAAAGTATACATTCGCGACATCTAGGTACACGTCGAATAGTTGATATGCTCGGAGACGAGGTACAGGCACAGACGACACGCATAATAGATCTAACATTCAATGCATTTTTTCGTCTTATGTATCGAAGGAGCGTTTGCTTACAGATTATTGTTGTTTTTAACATTATCGATTGAGCATAGCTTGCATAAGATTACAATTAATTGTAATGAAATGACGAAATTTTTGAAAGTTCGTCATGCAAATACACAAGACGAGAAACAAAATACACGTAACATTTTAATAATACTATTTTGAAATACCGATTTCAAAAAGATCAAAGATGTTTCTTACGCCATCTAACGTGTTACAATCTACATGCAGTATTAGTATTCCGAAATAGATACATCGTTCGAAACGGTCAAATGTCTTATTACAGATCAGATTTTATTATATTATTCGCCTTGTTTTGTATTGTGTTTATTTGTGCGTATTATTTTTAAAAATTTAAAAATACACGTATACAAACGAGAATAAATTATAATATAATGAGAATATTATAAATATTTTAGAATTTTTTTTATTAAAATTAATTCAAATATAATATCGTCATAATTGTTTTCAATTATTGTTGTAACATATTAAATTTTGTACTATCAATTTTGAAACATTACTTCTATTATTACAATTATATAATACGTAATAAATCAACGATAATAAACGATGATATATTTTTACATCTCACTTCCATCTACAACGATTCCACAGACACATATAAGCAAAAATATGGAAGACGAAATAAATAGTAATCATTAGTATAATGTCCATCCAAAAATTAGTTTCATTAAAATCGTAGCGATGCAAAATTTGAATTCCATCGGTAATGCAAGGTAATTCTGGATCAGTTTCTTCACAAGCTGAAAATATTAAAATATCGAATTTATTATTATTATTATTATTATTATTATTATCATATATACATACTTATTTTAACGATTTAATACGAAGATAATATTTACATATATTATGCACATCGTTCCATTGTAAAATTGTAAGTGCTTCGGTAGAGTGTAATAACCAAGATATATATTTTAGCCATTGGATGTATATTGGTAATGATCTAAAATACATTAAAATAATTTCATTTTGCGCGCGCGCGCGCGCGCACACACACACACATACATATATATACGTATATATACAATTTTCATTTTCATTTTGCTTTTTTTACTTTTTCTAGCTATTTGATGACGATACGTTCTGATATAAGCTGTAATAAAATATCCTACCCTAGTTTGAGAAATGAACCCATAGTAATCATGAGAATATAATCGAACGGTATCAAGTAAGCCATTGCCAACGGTACACTTTCAAATGCTGTTGAAAAAAAACAATCCTGAAATTATATATATATATATATTTACATTAATAATTAATTTTGTTTATATTCAATTTATTTATTATTCATTCTTTCAATCGTATATAAAATTGTATGAAATAAAATTTTACCACACGCAGTCGATACATTTATGGTGAGTAGAAGAACAAGTAACGTAAATCCAAAAGTTTCGATATTATTTCGCAATCCAGCTAACCAATATAGAATCGCAGTAAACAATAGCGGCTCTATTATTAAACCAGGTATCTGTAATACATTCATTTTTTAAATTGTTTCTTGGTATAATAAAAAAAAAAAAAAAAAAAAAAAGAAACCGAGAATCATATATCGTATAACAATCGAAATAATTTACATGATAATGAACATTTTTTTTTACTTACCAAAGAAAATATACGTGCAATATAATAGAGATAAATCGGATACATTCCAGCCCGGTATTCTCTTCGAAGGAGTGGTAATTCCTGCGGTATCAAGGCTAATGTAGCATACATTGGAAAAAATGCGTTTTCAGATACCAGTATAAAAATAACACCTTGTGCAGCTTGGATCCCGAGTTGATCAAAATTTACAGCACCCATAAAACACAAACCACCGATCGTTGCCACACTCTGCCACATTATTTTATTATGCTATACTTGCGCTCTTAATTATTCAAAATGCAAAAATGTTTTATTCGTATACGTATGCAAATCATCGAATAACTCACCACTTTTTGAAATATTCTAATTATTTGTACCGATGGATCTCTCAAAACTTGTAAGAAATGACGATAAATTAACCAGAAGAGTCGTGAACAATATCGTCTCTTTTTCTTCCTGTATGAGCTAGTTTTGATCTATACATATATTAAAAACAATATCGAATACACGATACAATATCGCTTAAAATTAAAGGTTAAACTTCACTTCGAATTATTTTGTGTGATAAATTTAAAATCAAAAAATAATTCGTTCGAATGGAACAATAAAGAATACGAAAAAACAAAAGCAAACAATAAATATTTATTTTTCTTTTTTCATATTAGACATACCATGAACACGAAAAAATAAATTAGATACTCACAGTCGAAGAGGATATTGAACCCTGTTTCTCTAAGATACGATCGATTTCGTTGGAAGCTTTACTGTTTAAAAAAATATCGCATATCTTGTGAGCTACTTGTTCACCATCTTTATTTTTCGACCCCGTGGCTACAATCGTTATCAGGAAATCAGCAGGATTATATTTTCGCGGACATTCGTAGCCCTGACTAGAGAATGAATCAAAGTTGGATGGAAAAAAGAAAACGTATAATTTTTTTATCGGGAATCTTACCTTGCAAAAAATTCTACCGCTTGATCGATTCGACCTGAAAATGCAACTCGGCCTTCGGCTATCAATATTATTCGATCGAAGGAACTGAATATATCAGAACTTGGTTGATGTATCGTGCATAACACTGTTCGTCCTTTTGCTGCGAATGATTTCAACTGGGAAATTACACAATTTGCCGAGTGAGAATCTTGCCCGGTTGTCGGTTCATCCAAGAACAATATCTTTGGATCTGTCAATAACTGAGAAAAATGAGTAAGTAAATAAACTAGAAAGAAATTGTTATAATACGTTTAAAAGGAAGAAAAAAAAAAGTAAAATATTATAAAAAAGAATATATCGTACTTCCGTAGCAAAAGACAACCTCTTTTTTTCACCGCCAGATAATACTTTGTCGTCAATGCTATTACCAATTCGTACATCACGTCTACTCGTTAAGCCAACATCTTTTAATAAATTGTCAATTTTTTTTTCAATATCCAATACTCGTAAATTTCCGTCAAGTTTCATTCGAGCCTGTATCAAAAAGTAAAACACAAAAGCAAAAAATTGAGATAAAAATCATCAAAAGCGTGCGAATGTGAACGATCTCAATCTCTTACCATAAACCAAAGATGTTCGATCACTGTCATTGTCGCGACAAATATATCCTCTTGATGCATGTAACCACTATTCTGCATCATATAAGAGGAATCTATCGTCATTCCATTTGCTCGTATATCACCGTGAATTAAATGTTCGGCTACATATAAAATCGAAAAATAACCTTATTATTAAAAATTAGCCTAATATTAGATTGAAAGCAAAAAAAAAAAAAAAGAAATAAATAAAAGGGAAAAAATACTCACATCCCGTGCGAAAAGCCAGAGCCGCTATCAATGAACTTTTACCAGATCCACTGAATTAAAAAAAAAAAAAAAGGAAGAAATAAAAATTTCAATTATCTATATATAAAAATCTTTTCAATAAATAATCTTACCTTGCACCAATTATTGCTGTTAGATTTCCCGGTTCTGCTGCACCCCGTACTGAAATCGAACAACAAAATTTAACGAATTTGTTCGTTCGATCGTCGAACGAAAGTTAACGAAATATTACACACCGCTATCGATTAATCGTTTGCGCACATTTTTTCGACCACGATCCATCGCATATACAGAAAGATCTTTCCATGTAAGCGTCACACTTTCCGTATCATCTTCCGTACGATAATTATGTTTTTTACGAAACCATTTACCTTCTTTTAAAACGTACATCGTAATTAAAAAGATTTCGTTTTATTTATTTCTATTTCGAAGTGATCGCAAACGAGCAAGCAACCCGATTGAACCAAGTTATACCACAAATGAGATTGTCGCTGAACCCGCCGTGATACGCGATACCTCTTACGCGTTCCCACTCGATCTATACCTAGGAAGTATACCGTTTCTCTCTATTTCTTTGGTTGAATAAAATCTTGGAATGTATATATATTATGTATGTATAATTTATATATCTCAATATATCAGTCTGATCGTTCGATGGTAAACGTATACTTTTAAATTTCTCACAATCTTATTACAATATATATAAAACTTACTTTAATAATAAGAGGAAAAATACGAGTGAAAAGGATTCCAAGTAAATTTAAAATATGCAATGCAAATTTCAAAAGGGATCACGTTTAATTTCAATTAAAAAATCAAAATATAAATATAATCAAAATTTATATATTTTAATTTAGGTATTATTAATTTGGTATACAATATAATATACGCACGTATGCATTGCAAAACAAATGATTCAAAATTGAAATTTCGTCTAACGAAAAATGAAATGAAAATTAGACTGTATATATCGTTTAATATTGTACCGTAAGTAAATAAGTAGGAGATGAAAGAAGACTTGAAGTATTATAGTAATCGAAGATGGAAACCTTATACCTGTTTTGTACACGTAAGAATTCCTCATACGCATATTTATATGTGTATACATATACTATATTTCTTCGTGTATTTTTTAAAAAACTATTTAAAAGATTTTCATATAATATTTTGACAAGAATCTTTTTACTATGTTCTATCGCAATATTTGTCTAATAATAAAAAATAAAAAAAGATGAAACGTTTTAAGAAATAAGCTATTAATTTAAATTTTTATATCAAATTGATTTAATTCAAAATAATAATAATAATTTGTCCTTCCAATTTTGAGAATTTGAATTATTTATATTTAAAGGAAGACGTACAACAACACGTTCTTTAATTTTATTATCGA